ATTCTTTCTACGACTCATGGGGGGTGGGGGTGCCGACGACCCTCTACCCACAGCCACGAACTCACCAGGAGGTCACGGAATTCACGAAAGGTCAGCATGAGGTCAAGGAGCAGGTCATTCAGACAGGCGCGATGAGGGTATTATTATTAGTTAAGCTTTTTATCTGACCTTTTAAAAAGATAATCTTGCCAAGCACTTATATCTAATTTATCATGGGGAGTTGCATGGTAGCGCGTGATAAGGTTTCATTCGCGTTTCTCATTTAATTGTTTTAGTTAAGAATATATGTTTAATTTTCGGTCCAGCAAGTAGCTTAATGTTTATCAGAATAGCACAGTAACTCATTCACCCTCATAATTCAATTATACACAATCAGCTGTTTTGTTAAAATTGTGCCAGTCCCGACCCAATGAATTTCCATACATACAGACGCAGAAATAAAGGCATATCTGTCTATATATCTGATAGATATACATTTAACCAACTATTTGCCAGGTTGATATGCATGTCTAGACTGATAAATATGCATTTATTTCTTTATTTATGCATGTCAGGTATACGAATATTCTTTGGGTCGGGCCTCGCACAATTCTAACAAACCGCCGAATATTTCTCTTCGTTCTCTTCAGTCCATCCAAGGCAAACGACTTGAATTTGAACGACATAGTATTCATGGTCACTCAGGTACCACGGTTACCCCCCTCCCCCAACCCCATGCCCCCGGGGTCCTTATGTATATAATGATGTACTCCTGAAAATTCAAAATAAGCTGGTAGAATGAACTCGCAAAACAGACTGCAGATTGCACGAGAGTTCTCTACACGGAGTGGCGTTGAAGTTGAATGGTACTGTTGAAGTGCAACTTTAAGAATAGCATTGAAGTCTTTGTTCATTTTCGTCAAAGATGAGCGTGTGCGTGAAAGACTGGACATAAACTGGAACAGTCATGAACTCTTCATAGTCATGAACTAAGAGCACCGTTTATGGCTGCTTGGCATCCCACGCAGGTCTGACAGGCTAGGTCAGTTCGAGATGACCTTCGAAGCGAGGTCATGGCAGTTTTGAATGGGGAATCACATGTGTCGCGGCCAAAGAAGTTGTGGGTGTCACCCTCTTGAAACCCTGAAAGAAGTTCTGGGAGTCCCTTTCTTTAAGAAGTTCCTAAAATCCCCTCTTCAGGAGAAATAAACGCTAGCGTTGCGGACTACCTATCTAAAAACTCGAGCAAAGCCGATCTAAACAAGCTCTCGAAGCGACGCGATTCACAATAAACTCGCTGAAATACAAAGACTAATGAGGCGAGGAACCGCAGCAGAAGTTCTTGGAGGAGAGGGGAGGAGAGGGGGCGAGGAAGACCGAGTTCTTCACCGAAACCAGCGAGCGGCAAGTAAGTGGAAGCGAACATGAGGCGAGGGGAGCCTTGCGTCCTCGAAGTGGCAGCGAGGATAGAGAAAGAGGCAAAGGGTGGCTTGTGAAGTGTGGGGGAGGGGGGGGGGGGTAAGCGTGGCTGACCTGACTTGACTTAAGCGAAGTTGCCGGACTGCTCATGACCTTTTCTTTCGCTTGGTTATTGTTCTAACTTCGTCGTCGGAAGTGGGTTGTTATATCCTACAAGCTGGCATTCATTGTTCATTCACTACCATTTTAAAGAAATATTACACTTCTTACACTTTTAAAACGCTGTCTCATTCATTTTCGCTGGGCCATCTGCTGTTTTTTTAGACGTTTTGAAGACGCATGCGAACGCTGCCGCAATAATATGACGTTTATATGGAGTTAAATGATTATATTTCGCGAAATGATGCTATGGTTTCACTTTCCCAATTATCAATGTTCTGGGCCAACCAGAGGTGTGTTTGTAGGCACTGCTCATTCCTTGTGTTTTGGTACTTGTCCTTCGGGCTTGTCCTGGACGCGTTCTCTCCCGCCGAAGCCAGCTGCATCTCGCTTCGGCGACGAAGGCGACTGGAGGAGGAATCTTCTCTCGCTGTTCCATCACACTCGCTCCGCCGACCTGTCCCTCGCCCTCCACCTGAAGCGCCTGTCCGTGGCGTCCCTGCCCCACTCGCCGTCGCCCTCGCCCGGGGCCAGCGGCTCCGGGTCCCCCTCCATGGCGGGCCGCTGCACGACGCGCTCGCCGTCGACCAGCGCCGCCACGAGCATGGTGCGGCCCGAGGGCGAGGGCCAGGCGGCCGCCAGGTTGGGCGTGGACGTGGACGCCGGGAGGAGGGGCGAAGGCGGGTCGTTCAGGCAGGGGGGAGAGGAGGGCGTGACGGCTGTGAGGGGCAGGGACCGCGGGCGTGTTGGGGCGGCGACGTCTAGGGACAGAGAGGCCCCTAAGGGACGCCGGGCGCGCTGGCGGGGCGGAGGACTGTAGTGGCGGCGAAGGGAGCGGTCCATCAGGTGGAGCGCCTCGTCAGAGGGGCGGTAGTGCGGCGGGCAGCAGGGCGAGAGCGGGGAGGGGCCGGGCGTGAGCGGAGGCGGCGAGGCGGCGCCGGGAAGCTGACTGATCTTCTGAAGGACGTCGCGAAGCTCTCTGGTGGCCGGGGAGGGCGGCAACGTCGGGGAGGTGGGCGCAGGCGGCGAAGGCGGCGAAGTGGGCGGCAGACTGGACACGTCCGAGTTGTGAGGGCCCACGGAGGACGCGGGGGAGGCCAGCGCCAGCACGCAGCCAGGGGACGACACGCGGCACCGCCCGTAGTCGCTCTGCAAGGGACTGTATGTTAGGGGAGACAGCATCCGCGATGAAGAATTGAAATCGTAGAAAACACGCCTATGCACAAAATATGCCTTACTGAAAATAAGGCAACAGTTTCGAAATCTTTGGGGATTTATCAGTATAAGAATCAGAAGGATTTTGAAACTCGATAAATGCTTTAATAGGCCTATTTTGTACACAGAGCTTTTTTCTGTCAGCATTCACATTCAAGTTTACATTTTCTCTCATTCTCCGCCCCCCCTCTGTCTGTCTGTCTGTCTCTGTCTCTGTCTCTCTCTCTCTCTCTCTCTCTCTCTCTCTCTCTCTCTCTCTCTCTCTCTCTCTCTCTCTCTCTCTCTCACAGACGCCTCACCTGCAACGTGGCTCCACAGGTGTAGCTGGAACTCTGGGATCCCTCGGGCGTCGATACAGAGCCTGAGGTACAAAACAAAGGGAGTTAGCAGACGAAGGAGTGGGAGACGGTGGTAGGAGGGAGGTGGGGCGGAAAGAGAAAGGAGATACGATAAGAGACAACGGACAAGGAGAGGAGGATAAGGATACAGAAGAAGAAGAAGAAGACGGGAGGGGAGAAGGAGAAGAAGAAGGATACGGGAAGGGAACAAGTTAAAGAAGACTAAGGGGTAGAAGTAAAAGAAGAGGAAGAAACGAAGAAGAAAAAACGAAGATGAGGAAGAAGACGAAGACGAAGGGGGAGAAGTAAAAGAAGAAACGGAGAAGAAAAAAAAAAAAAAAACGAAGATGAAGAATAAGAAGAAAGAAGAAAGGATATCAACATGTCAGGTGAAAGTGATTGTGACGGTCTGATGGTTGACAGCAATAACTTGGATGCTGTCAAGAATGGGTTGATAATAAGATCCTATAGATATATGTAATCAGTCATTTCCGTCAGTTACGTATTGCTAGTAGATTCTGTCAGCTATAATCTTCAAGCCAGCCAGATCTCAGATAAAACAGTACGATTTAGTTTTGAGAAATGCGCAAGATAAAAAAATTCTAATGAATCATTACAGAATGTCAATATTTATAAGTCCCCTTCAACTAAAGCTCGGGTATTATCACCATTACCTTGAACAACTTGGGCATCCATAACCTTTTCTTAAATATAAACCAAAACAATAAGCCAAGCTTTGAAGGAAAACAGGTGAATATCAGCGCAGGCTTATCACTACCAGACCGTTCGGAAAACTGATAAGACAAACACATCCTGATAACGTCTATGATGCCTAATTATCATGTCTGTTTCGGGAAATCTAGAGCTAGATATGGATTTACTCTAGAGGGTGAAAGGCCGGCTCGTCGCAGCGTCTACACTCCATTTCTATTGATACCCATTGATTATTTCAGCCTGCAGTTCATTCTCATAGAAAGACTATTTTGATGTCTCGCTCATGGGCGTCAGCAGGACGGTGGGGCTGGAATGTGCCATGTGTGTCTGTGTGAAGAGGGGCTTTATGGGAGGAAGAGAGAGAGAGAGAGAGGGAAGGAGGGAGGGAGAGAGGAGGGAGAGAGGAGGGAAGGAGGGAGGGAGAGAGGAGGGAAGGAGGAGAGAGAGGAGGGAAGGAGGGAGGGAGAGAGGAAGGGAAGGAGGGAGGGAGAGAGGAGGGAGGAGGGAGGGAGAGAGGAGGGAAGGAGGGAGGGAGAGAGGGAGGGAGGAGGGAGAGGAGGGAGGGAGGGAGAGAGGAGGGGGAGAGGAGAGGGAGGGAGGGAGGGAGAGAGAGGGAGGGAGAGAGAGGGAGGGAGGGAGGGAGGGAGGGAGAGAGGGAGAGAGAGGAGAGAGAGAGAGAGAGAGAGAGAGAGAGAGAGAGTGAAGTGAGTGAGTGAGTGAGTGAGTGAGTGAGTGAGTGAGAGAGAGAGAGAGAGAGAGAGAGAGAGAGAGAGAGAGAGAGAGAGAGAGAGAGAGAGAGAGAGAGAGAGAGAAAGAGAGAGAGAGAGGAGAGGGAGGGGGGGAGGGGGGTAGAGATAGATAGATAGATAGAGAGACAGAGAAGCAGATAGAGAGACAGCAAGAAAAAAGGCAGACACAGGCAGACGAGACACGTCCGAAAATAGAACGAAACAAAACACAAAGAATTGGAAAAGACGGACGAAGATAGACAAAGAGAATGAGAGAGAGAGAAAAAAGAAACACGAGATACTCGTCGGTCCTATAGCAAGCGACCGAGTGTCTGTGGGATGCAGTCTGTGGCAGCGCTAGAGAAAGCAAGTATAAAAAAAAAAAAAAAAAAAAAAAATGTATGTACGGCAGTCTACGGGACAGAACCATCAAGATCGCTTTATGTTTCTGCCAATAAGTTACTTTGTGGGAGAGAAAGAAAAAAATAAATCGTTAAAAATACAACACAAAAAAAATCTGAGACCACTAGCGCGTACTCCCCCACAATAAAATGATTCTAAATACACAAAAAAGAGAGAAAAAAGAAAAAAGACAACGGGAAAGAATAATTTTTTTTCTCCAAAAAAGCTAAGGTTTATGTATCCAAAAATCTAATTAGGTACAAAGTAAGTGTTTGTGCTAGCAACTACATCTGCGTTTTTGCTGTTCGATCCATCGCCTATATTATCACTGATATATAAAGTAGAAGGAATAAACAACTTATATAAATAAGGATCAAAAAAGAAAAAAATACAAAGAAAGAACACCAACAACGATACAAAAAACGTATGGAAAGAAGAAATAAAAACTTACACATAAGAAAAAAATACATAGAAAGAACAGCAACAACGACAAAAAATCGAAAAAAATTACATACATATAAGAAAAAAATACGTATCGAAACGGAAATAAAGATTGTGATTCGGAATACGAAATAAAGGTTTACGAAACGAGAACATATAACATGGAGTAAAGTTACGGATAGGAAATAAGACAAGGAAGGGGGGAATAAGGGCGGGGGGAAAGAAAGGCAGAGAAAAGGAAATTGAAACGGGATATTAAGAAAGAATAATCGAAATAAATCATAAAGGACTGAGTACACAAAACATCCATCCTAAAAATGGAAAAAAAAAAATAAAAATAAGTAATGTGTGTGCGGGCGTGTTGAGCACATACTGCATATCATACCTATGATTGTAAACTGTAAGATGTTAATACACATGTAAAAAAAAAAAAAAAAAAATATATATATATAAATAAAAAAATGAAGAAAAACATTAAACACTAAAATTTAGAACGATCAAAAGAAGCCAGTCATGAGCACGATCAGACGAAACAAAATGGATGAAAACCGAAAAAACAAAAACAAAAAACAAAAAAACACAACAAACAAAGAAAACCGAAAATCCAAAAAATAAAAGAGTTGCATTGTGCGTGTGTGAGTATAAACATTTGGTTGTTGCTACCTCTGCTACTAGGGGCGCGCCGCCTCCACTGCAGACTGTCGGAGTCTACTTTTATCCAGAGCACAGAATCTGAAAGCGTCAACCAGAAACGAACGAAACGAATAGAAGAAACACGGAAAAATGACACAATGAGATTAGATTTTGAAGTTTTTTTTTCTTAGGTTAAGGAGAGACATTCACATGAAAAAAGTGTTTGAAAAGGTTCTTTAATATAGAGAGCCCGAAAAAAATGTACATTCAGAAGAGAAAAATCTGGGGAAATAGGGTAGTTCAAAAAGGGGAACTGGAAACCCCCTTAAAAATGTATGAAGGAAAAAAAATATATGGAAACATTCTTATAAAAGTGTATCTTGAAAAATATATATATACACACACGTGAGGGATAATGACATCCTGTTTATTATGTATCAAAATTCCAAATTTCTCAAGAAATACTTTCAAAAAATCTGAATACTTTGACTAAAAGAGTCATTCTCCCACACCATCTATCATTAATCAGTATAAACAGACTAAAATCATGCTGTGAAACCGCCATGGTATAAAATCTCAAGTAAAAGGCAAGACAGAATACAAACATCAATACTCAAAACTTGATAAATATAGAATAGACAAATCGACTCCGAATGATAAACTATCTCAAAAGGATTACCAGAAACTTTCTTTTAAAAAGAGGAGGTTTTCTAACGCCTTGGCTAAATGGGCGTTGGAAGATGAAAGAGAAAAAAGAAAAGGAAAAAGTCTCACCACATTCCGATGTTTCCAAAAAAGGCAAGACTCTTTTTCGACCATAATTAGCCAAAGTGAGGCATGTCTGTTGATCTCTCTCTGGTCTATTACCTACCTCTTTCGTGCGATGGCCGACTCCTAAATTAACATTATCATATCACACCACAGATAGTGTCATCTTGAACAGTCGTGGCGCGTCCATAGGGGAAAATGTATTCTAAGCTGCGGGATAATGCGGTACTGCCCACTCTATCCCGTCCTAACTTTGACCCCAACATGCTGATGCTAGTACTCAACCTGCATTAACCGAGAGAGGCAAACTGGGCGCGAACCTGGGACCCAGAGATTGCAGAGAAAGCCCTCTGCCATTTGGCTTATCCCTCCTTTATTGCAACTGCCACGGGGGGGGGGGGGTCTGATCCCGGCAACACGAGGGTCGGAGTCCAATGCTTTAACACGGGACCAACGCGGCAATCTAAATGGCCATTTGAGGGGCATATTCATATGCCAACTTTGAATAAATGGGTTACCCCTCGAATGGTCTGGAGAAGATAGTATTATATTTTTAAAAATTTTCATTAGCACGACCTCTTCTTTCTTTTTGACGAATGAACCATTTCTAAACTAATGAGATAATCGTTTATGATTATCATGAAATATCCATTGTTATCCGGTCTTATAATTCACATAATTAAGCCCTTTTTATGGTCCGACTTTTATCTGGCAGTGGTAGTATTTCTTTTATCGTGTAATGGAAAATATACATATCTTAAATTTCTGTTGAATAACCCATTCCAAAAATATTGTGGAATACAGCCGTATTTAAATTTTCATTGTAATAGAGCTTTTCAATGGAAATTTTAAAAATAGGTGAAGTATCTTTTTCTTAATTTCAGTGGATGATTTACATATCAAAGGATTATTATTTTATTTAGCCTATATGTGAAAAATTATTGTCTACCTTCCTACGGATAAAGTATTTCGCAACTACAGTGGAATACATGGAAGAATTCTTTCATTATTGATGGAATGACTTTTTCTTATCAACTTCCTGTGTGATAACTATATATTGTCCTAGTTCATATGAGACCACTCTTTACTAGAACAAAAGTTCATCATAGAACCCTACAACTATCCTATCTGAGATTCGCTCTACAACATACGACGAATAGTATACTAAAGAGATTATATTCCATGCCCTCAACATACAATAAATAATATACCGACTTAACTCTTCGAACATCCTCCTTAAGAAAGTGACTTGACCCGAGTATTATAGTAATGAAGAAAACACACACACACACACACACACACACACACACACACACACACACACACACACACACACACACACACCACGCACGCACGCACACGCAACACACACACACACACACACACACACAACACACACACACCACGCACGCACGCACGCACACACGCACACACACACACACACACACACACACACACACACACACACACACACACACACACACACACACACACACATGGGAAAAGAGAGAATACACCAACCCAGTCTGGTGTTCTAACCTGATCTGTAGATGTAATGATGACAGGGTGCAGGCCAGTGGGCAGAAGTATGGGTAACATGCCCTCCTTCTGTCATTGACTTGGTAGATTTAACCTCTGGCATCCCGCCACGAACCACAACCACAGGGTACAGTTCAGGCTTTGCCGCGACCTGAAAATGAAGATAAATAAATAAGTTAAGGTAAGATATGGCAAATTACAGAAAACGGGACGAGTCAAAGAAAACGTAACATTAGTGCTGAGATGGAGTTCAGCGCTAACTATGATATTTCTTGGCCTTGTGTATGTGGGGTTATACACATTTTCTACTTTCTATTGATTTTTTTTTCTTTATCGCTTTAATATTTATCATCACTATAAAGGGATGAAACTATTTAGGAAGCATATGCCACACACACAAAAAAACTTTTGTGTGTGTTCCTGTTGCCAAAGGAATCTGCTCTTTTTTTTCCTTGTCTCCTTTCTGGTTTGTTTATCTACTACATTTGTGACCTTTGTCATCCTTGTTTTCTTTCTTTTGAATGAATTCCATAGTCCTCCCCCCCCCCTCTCTTCTCTCTCTCTCTCTCTCTCTCTCTCTCTCTCTCTCTCTCTCTCTCCTCTCCTCTCCTCTCATCCCTCTCTCATCTTCCTCTCTCTCTCTCTCTCTCTCTCCCTCCCTTCCCTCTTCCCTCCTCCTCTCCCTCTTCCCTCTCCCTCTCCCCTCTCCCCTCTCCCCTCCTCCCTCTCCCCTCTCCCCTCTCCCTCCTCCGCTCCGTCCCTCCCTCCCTCCTCTCCCTCTCTCTCTCTCCTCTCTCTCCCTCTCTCTCTCTCTCTCCTCTTCTCTCTCTCTCTCTCTCTCCTCCTCTTACCTCCTCCTCTTACTTCCTTCCTACTCTCCTCTTACTTCTCACCTGCACACTCCTCTTCCGCTCCTTCCTCCTCCTCCTTCTTCTTACCTCCTCCTCCTCTCCCCACCCTCCTCCCCTCTCCCTCTACTACTCCCACTCCCCCCTCCTCCTACTTCTCCTCTTCCTCCTCCACCTTCCCACCCCCTACTCCTCCTTTTTCCTTCTTCTTCCTCATCCTCCTTTCCATCTTCTTCCTCCCCTCTATCACCCCCTCCCCTCCACTTCCTCCCTCTACTTCCCTTTCCCCTCCTCCTTTCTCCTCACGCCCCATCTACACCCTCTCTCTCCCTTCCTCATCACCATAGCTAGGCGATCGGGATTATTCAAATGGCAATCGCTGTGTTTTATTAGCTCATGGACTCGCCTGTATAGGGGGGGCGGGGGTTCTTGCACCGTGACGAAGGGGAAGAGGGGAGAAGGGGAAGAAGGGAGAGTTGAGAGGGGAAAGCGAGGGGAGGAAGAGGGGAGAAATAAGAGGGAAGCGAGGGGAGAGTTGAGAGGGGAGGAAGAAGAGAGAGTTGAGAGGAGAAAGCGATGGGAGGAAGAGGGGAGAAGTGAGAGGGAAGCGAGGGGAGGAAAAGGGGAGAAGAGAGAGGGAAGCGAAGAGAGAGTTGAGAAGGGAGAGCGAGGGGAGGAAAAGGGGAAAGCATTACGAGAAAATGGGGAATATGGAGAGGGGAGAATGGAGAGGCGATAACGAGGGGAGAATGGAGAGGTGATAGCAAGGGAAAGAAGAGGGGAGAAAAGAGTCGGAAAGCGAAAGAGAGGAAAGGGG